CTCCCTCGTCTTATAACAAACACCTTACCCTCGCCTACAGGCAGACAGCTAAGGAATCAAAACCCTAGTTATGCTGAAGCCGTTGCAGATCACCTTCGTTTTACGGTGCAGTGATTGCCAACCTACCCTACTTCGCCTTGCGCCTAGCCACATCTCCCTTGACACTAGTCTATACTCCTCTGAAGGGCAGCATTAATACCAGTACTACAAGATGCACTCCTTTTACGATTGACCTCCCAAATGACCTCAAACTAATTTTTTTTAAGCTTCTTTATTATGACACTGTACCTTGCTCAAAGGCGGATCTTGGGGGGAGGAGGGGGGGGGGGAGTTTCAGGAGGTTCGGTCGAACCCCCTAAATTAAAAAAAAGATATGAGGTATTATAACACACTGACTTGGACTCCGAAATCCCATTTCCGAGGACTTCATTTTTTAAACTTTTCCGGGGTAGGATGCCCCGGACCCCCCTACAATGCCTACATACAGAGGGTCTGTATAACGAGCCCCCTTCTCTAAGTTCCTGTATCCGCCCCAGTTGCTTGTTTGTCCATGGGCCTTATGCTTCAAAATTTCAGGTATGGACAATCGCCTTTACGTTATCCTTGGACACGACACCGCCACAAAAACTATGTTCGGGGTCAGCGGGAATGGGAAAACGATTCTGAAAAGCTCAGAGGACCACAAAGCAAGATTTAAGGCTGTTCCTCAAGACGAGTGGTTCAAAGTCAAAGATAAGGCCACCACAACACACGCTATGTGGCTTGATAGCAGCATGGCTGTCACCAATACCAGCAGCACACCCCCGACTGAGCACATAGTCACTTCGACCAGCGGTGCCAAGTGGGGAGGTACGTTTTGACATCTCTAAACATGCTAAAGTAGCCTTCTATACATTTTTTTGTGGATGTCTTCTTGACAACTTTTAGTGTTTGAAGATACTTCCAATGAGACACGCAACCCTGAGAATTTCTGGGATTTTTGCTTTTTTCCGTAGACTGACTGAAGGCACCTTGCTGTTTCTGATTTACCACTAACCTTTGTACGGCTAGAAAGCATAAGAGACCGTGTGTGTCCTGATTTGTTAAATGTGAAACCACGCGAACAGTCTGTGACTGATGGAAGTATTCTTAGGATTTCCGATCCCTGGGGGCACAAATGGGGGATGTTCCTAGGGATATATATTATTATTCATAGTTTTATTTTCTGAGGGCCACGTATTTATTAGCCTTTGGCTATTAAGTGTTTAACCCTCCTTAAATAAAGTCATTTGATCGTTATCTTTGTTATAAAGACGGACATTTCCAGCCAGTAGATCTTCCAGTGTCCATCAAAGTCTGACATGCGCATTATCGAGACACTGGTTTACTCGCAAGCCCCGCAGATCGGTGAAGTACTTTGCTTTTCTCATTGCATTTTTTTCTCCTTGCAGCCTCTGCCAACGGCATTCACGTGCTACAGCAGTCGTCAGGGTGGAAACTGAAAGCAATTTGGATGTGTTACGGTCTGTAAGCGACTCCTCAAGACTTTCTGTACATAACCTGAAAACTTGTCAGCAACTGAACGAAACGAAAACACTGAAACGTTTACACTGTAGATATTGTGTGCATTTGAATAGTTGTAACCAAACTGCAAATGCAGGCCTTCATTTACACAAGATGCATCTACACGCGTTTTGTATCACAGTCCTTGAAAAGTAATCTTTCTGTAGCCGTTTTAGGACTCGTCACGCAACGAACCATGAAAACGTTACGTCACAAAGCGCTTCCACTCAATTCGAAGCGTTGCGTGACGTTATTTCCAAAAAGCCGTCATAAGGTTTAAGTTATGTAGCTCTTTAGTTATGGATTTTAGAATTTGATGACGTTTCGAGAAAACGCTATATTTGCACACAGTAGTTTTAATCCTGTTTGTAGTTCTTGGGACAATGTGTATAACTGGGGACTGTTTTACAACAAACCGGTCACATGGTACAAAACGTGTGGGTACTTGAAAGCCCAGACAAAGAAAAATGTTAAAAGCTTAACTTATTGAAGTCATTTTGAATCTGAGGTGTAGCGGTTGTTTGCACCAGTTACTCGTTAAGATGCAAAATGAATGCCTATTTCTCAGCTTAGACCCCACTTTAGTTACAGCGAAAATTAAGTTAATTAAGTTCGTCTTGTTTTCTTATTTCAGACTTTGGTAAGTGACTGTGCCACTCCTGGTGTATCGTCAAAATAATTTCAGTGAAATGCACGGGAGCACTGAGCCTTGGTCTGTAAGCGTTTAGTAGAGGAAAAAATTAAAACAGTCCATTTTGCGTTAACCTTGCCCACAAACAAAGCAGGAGCCGATTTTAAAGTGATTATGAACAATCCTGTAACTTAATGATCTAGCTTATGTAGAAAGAGCTTCAATTCCCTAAGCACTGGCAGACGTCTAACAATCTCATACTTATGTTGTTCTGTGCATGCGCGTAAGAATTTAAAAAAGGAAAAGTAACCAATCAGAGATTATAAACGGATCTCTGTATAGTTTCGTCATCAGTATGGAATTTTTCGGGTCCAGTTTCACTCGTCTCTAAGGAGGGGAAACGTTTGAGGGTGCCAAGTAGCTTGGACTACGCAATTTGGACTGTTTTCTAGTTTTGTATAAATCACCGCAGCACGGGACTGGTGTCATCCGCAAAAGTTTAAAAGACTGACAATTTAAGTGAGTATTTGATCTCATCCAAGCATAAATGAAGATTCACGATGCCTGCCTCCATTTTAACTGTACGTCAAACTTGGTACGAATTGCATATTCCTTATTCGACGATAAAGAAAATACGGTCCTATATAAAACTCAGAGATGGGTTAAAAAAATAGTGAATATAAAAAAATAAGACTAAATGCGTAATTAATCTCAGAAGCCATCCAATAACAAATTTATTATTTCACTGCATTTTCAAATTATTTTGTACCAAACTGAAACACTAGCTTTCTAATAGGTTCACTGGATCTTAGTTACCAGCCGTTATAATCGATCAAATATTTTCACTCGCACGCAATTGGTCTAAACGCGTCACGCGTCTGAATATGCCCCAGCTAAAACTGGGGAATATCGGAGTGATATTCCCCAATTTTCAAAACTGCGCGTGTTGCGACAAAAATTTGAAGGATAATAAACACAATGGCCTTCATTTAGCGTGAAAACTGAAAACGTGAATATGTTCGGATATTTGTCCTTGGACATTATCTGTTTCTCGGAGTTCACAGTTTTTCTCGAGCTACGCTCTAGGAAAACTTGGAACAGATAATGTCCGCGGACAATTATCCGAGCATATTTCCGCGCCAAATGGAGGCTATTATTTATATATTTCGCTCCAAATAAAGGCTATATCAAAATTTTTTATTAAGGGTCATGTTGCAGCTCTCGTAAGGTCTCACATCAATGGCTTGAAACCCTTTGATAGGACAATAAAACAAACAACTGAAACAATGGTTCTAGCCCCAAAACAATAACAGCTGTTGCAATGACGACAAATAGAATTAGAAGGTTACGAGAGCTTCTACACTACCGTTTATTATACCTGCGTTTGACCTAATATGGAAATGAATGCGGCAAATGCCGCTCGGCATAAAACTTTTCGCGGGAAGCCAAGTTCCGTCGACAAGGAAAATGGATGAAAAAAGCAGATTCGGTGAGTTATTTACAGAAGAAATACAAGAAATTATGGACAAGGCCGTCTCAGTAACAACAAAAGAAGCCACAAAATTCGGGATGAGATTTTTTAACGGGTACGGTTATCAAATTCTAAAATCCCTTAAGTTTCCCTAAAAAGTTGCAATATATATGGATTTAGCCAAGCCTAAGCGGAGCTCCTGGGCCGGGTTGTTCAAAGCCTGATTAAACTAACCCAGGATAAGTGAGAAATTTGATCTGAGTTTTTTCTTTTTTTTAACTTGGCGGCGAGATTTTCTGCTAATACTGTTTGGCGTGCTGAGTTTGAATAATCTCAAACTACACAAAACATAAACAGTGAAAAACATTTTGAACAGGAAAACTTTGTACTTCGGTTAGCTTCTAATCCTGGGTTAGCATTAACCGGCTCTGTTCCGAACAACCCAGCCCTGGGGCCCGTTTCTCAAAAGCCCCGAAAACTTTTCGGGCCCGCAAAGCCATTTTTAGTTAATCTGTATCTAAAAACAGAGAGGTTTGTGCGCCTGAAACTTGTGGTATGAAGGGAACCTCTGTTCATATTGAGAATATGCTAATAAAACAGCTCTGTAATCATAAGGTTTGAGATTTTGCTATGGCTTTCCGGGTGCGAAAACCTTTCGGGNAGATTAATGTTGTTGTCAATTATTCCATTCGCGCTTGTTGGATGGAGATTGGTTATGGCCAACTCCTCGTTGGCTATTTGCCATTTCATATCCAATGCGCGCTCGTGGAATAATTGTTAAATATTACACTGAATTTATAAAAAAAACTTAGCTGCTACCCACTCTCATCGGTGGATAGGTGTGTTTAGATGACAGTGTGTAAACACGGTTGTGACGCTTTAGATTCGCGCGTATTTTTAAGAATTATTTTAGAAAAGCTATAGAGCACTTTTTCCGTGTTTACGTAGCCTTAACTAAACACTCGGAAGGTTGGGAGAATTCTCGAAAGTTATGCAAAACCGAGACGTAGTCGAGGGTTTGCATAACTACCTCTAACTAATTCCCCCAACCCTCTTCGTGTTTAGATAAAGCTATGTACACACGGAAAAAGTCCTACGTAATACCGTCTGATATTTCAGTCGACCTTATATGGTAAATGTCCCAATAGTGGAGAGCCACACAAGTTTGCAAAGCTTGCCTATTAAAATTGAGGCTGATACAAACGATGCGAAAAACCGCACGAATTTCATTCCAACCTAGTTTTTCATGGGCTAAGCAATGGGAAAAACAAAAAAACCTTGTCTAATTAATGTTGGTTAAAACTTTTTCGAATGGCACAGTAACAGTTCTTTGCAAAGCATTATTATGCACTGTTATCTACCAATAAACTTTTATTACGACAACATCATGGCCAATCGGCTTGTAAACTTAAGGTTGCGTTGGCATCGTTTATTAGACTTGAAAGTCTGTTTTTTTTCTCTGTACTGGTCAAATTAGCACTTTAAATTAGCCAGCTATTTAAGAACTTGGAATGAATTGACTTAGATTTCTGGTAAAGCTAGAGCTTGCCTTTAATGACCGAATAACAGTTTTCTTATAAACTAATTAAAGTTTAAAGAAGTGACTAAGGTGTCAATCTTAACACCATTGTTGACGTTGTAGTGTTAAAAAGAACACAGACTTAAAATTACCTTTACACATCTAGTGAAGATGATAACACTTTTAAAGGGAGTGCGCCTTTTCATAAAAGTTGATAGTGTTGTAACATAGGAACGTGAAGATAGTCCAATTGACAAGTTTCCATTTTCTGATTTTCTTTCATGTTAAACGCCAAGCCATATATCAGCTTATACCCTGAAATTTCACGAGAAAAAAAAAAAACCTGCATAGAGTGGTTTTCACTTGAGTGTCGAAAGTTATTCGCATCTGCTCTGGTTTTGCATTCCTACACCACACGATCGATTCAAAAAACTCGCGCCACTTTGCCATCCAATCAGGAGTAAAACCAAAACCAATCGTGATTCGTTCGCACACGTTTTCCCGCGCTTTGCGTCAGCTACATGCATTCGAGTTTTGATTGGTTCACTGGATTGTCTGTGTAACTGTGATTGGCCACAGTGATTATTGGTTTTGGTTTTATGACACTCAATGCGAAACTGCTCTAGCTGCAAGGCAGTAGTACATATTTATAGGCTAAATCCTCACATGTGCATTTACGTCTGTAAAACGATAAAACTGTCTTTGTCTACACGAGTCTGGTGATAGCTAACGCATCTTTCAACACCAAAACGATAGAACCAACCATGAAAACGATCTATCTGACGAGGGCACTTCGGTACAAGACTGACGTTAAAATCTGCACTGAGCGTGTTGTGACGTCAGCGTTTACAAATGAACACGTTCACACTGTTCACGCGAAGATAGAAAAACGGAGAAAGTCAGTGTCCTTTTACAAATTAAACCGACCATCGAGAGAGTGTATAAGGAGAGCATAATTTTGCAATAATCGTTACTATCGTGTAGGCGTGGACGAAAGGCCTAAACGTATAGAATAAAATTCTTTTACAGGTGTAAATGACATCCCTAAGCCATTTCATCATATCTTAAACAAATGAAGCAAAGAAGGAACTCTTAAATTAAAATGTGAAACAATTAACTTTAGAGGTGACATCTTTAACGAAGATAACGATGTCAGTTTGTTAGTTATGATCACAGTCATATCTGCATCACTGAAACACTGTAGCAGTTTTAAACTTTAAACAAGGTGTAAAGTGGTGTTCTTTCACAGAAATAAATTTTCCATTGCTTCAGTTGAGTAATTTATTATTTAGTTCACCCTGACTGAGTCTTGTGCACTATGTTTGTCAACCAACAAATCAATTTATTAGTGTCCAAAGCGTCGAGGTTGCTCTCCATATCCGAGCTAGAGGCTCATGTATAAAACACGTGACAATAAGTAAGAGTAAAATAATTCATATTCGGTGTGGCGTGTCAGTGAGACAAAAATGAGACGGCTGAATCAGTGTGGGGAAATAAGTCCCTCCTAGAAAAAATGTTGGGTAACGTTTGAAAACCTCTCGAAGATCATTTTGATCAAGAAATAAAGCTATCATGACAAGCAAGAGAATTGTCTTCCTTTTCTGTAAACGATGGTAAGCTTGTTAAAAAAACCTTGGCTGATCTTGTCAAATACCCATTTAGTAAATTTAGAAGCTAGCCGTTAGTTTTTGTTACTATTTGCCATGTAGTTTAAAAATGCTGATGTCAGCATTTTTGTTGAGATTCAAGGCTAATTATCTCGAGAAAATGAGTGACTGCCCCCATTTTTCTTTGTGGACTTCAATAGCCCAAAAACCTTCGTATTTAGTAGGCACCGTTCTTAACGGGGTTCCACTGTTTATAATGAACTAAAGTTATTGGATCACATGGCTCCTGATCATTACATTATAGGTAGGTGGGAGAGTCTTTCATTTGAAGATCTGGCTGAGGTACTCAGTGTCGTAGTCAGAATTTTCCAAAGGGAGGGTAGGACGGGGGGGGGGGGNGCCCCTATTACCCAATCTCTGATATCAGTTAAATTTTCGGAGATTTCTCATGCAGCGATTAGTAAATACAGTCGAACCTCCCGTGAGCGACCATCCAAAATGCCAAGCCTAGGTACAATGATGCAAGAGACCGCAAACGAAAATGCTACGCATGATCACTGCAGAGACTTACCCCATGTTTGAAATGTCTTATTCATGCGAAACGTCACTATTTCGAGAAAAAAATCCTGTACTTCCTATCGAGAAATTTCCATCTTTTTTACTAGCCAGGAATGCGATTTGGTTTCAACTTAGCTCTAACAGTGGTCGTGGACGCTTACGAGAGGTGTTCGCAACCGGAGGTTCGACTGTAGTTACAAAGGCGTCATTCCCAAGCTGAAAATTAAACGCCGTCTAGACTCTCCAACTGGTACATGCAAGTTTCACAATTTAACTGAGCACATGTTGCCTTTTCAATAGGGTACATCGATGTACACGTCTGTTCTGGGGGTTATAGCGACCCCTCTAACGGAAATTGCATCGGAAACAATGCCTCAATCAAGGTGGACAGTGTGGAAAAAATTGTAAACGTGAGTATAATACAGGCACCTTAATTTTATCCGGGGAGTGGGGAGGGTGGGTGGTCACTAGCGCTTGGTCAATGAATATGGGTCATTGACCAAGCGTGAGGTCAGGAAGGTTGGATATTGGCCTACTTCCTTTTATGGGTGTTTATGGATCGAGACGGAGTCGAGGTCCATAAAACACGCAAAAATATAACCAGGTCACCATCTAGTCATCTTGGCCAAACAAGCCTGGTTAATAAAGGATTTATTATATGGAGAAAGAACACTATTTTCTTGTGGGACATAGTGGGTAATCCGAGAGGACAAGATAGGGTCATCTTGCCTGCTCGGATAGCCAATCATAGCGCAGGGTTTGGTTCATCTTGTCCGCTCATCAACAACGAGGCGCGTAAAAGCTTAGGTGGCGGGGTATTCATCTCCACTCAGTCCTCTACTCAACTTTCATTTTCACTTTTTTGGGCTCCTCACCTTCTTGGGAAAGGAAAATAGCGCTGGAACGGTCGGGTGGTGGGGGAGGGGGACGAGGGGAGGGGAATTTCGCGAAAAAAATTTCGCGAAAAAAATTCAAACACGCAGGAGTGGCAGAAAAACAAAATATAACTGCAAAGCAATTTTTAAAACTCTCTTTAATCATGAAAAGAAAATTGGAATGGGGGAGGTTAGGAAAGCCGCAGTCTGGTCCACGTATAAGAACAAGCATCGTGAATCATAAGCACATTCAAGTAAATGAAAGTTATATAATGCGCTCTCTGCATCATGTTATGTGACAGCTGCTTTTCCTTTTTGTTCAGCCGGGTCGTGGATACAATGTAGTGGTGTTAAACAGAGGAGGGCGCTTCATTGATTCTGTGGTATTCGACGCGTATGCTTCATCAACAGCCGACGATGAGCTAGGTGCGTACATTGACGGTCTTCAAGAAAATGTCATTGTTCTAATTGCTGTGATGGACGAGGCAACCTTCGGAAACAATGCAAGTGAAGAGGATAAGATGGGCGCCAATCTGCAGCTGTTAAGCCTCGGAGCCAAGCATCCAAGACCCCCTGGGAATCGAGCCTCGTGGGCCCTCGTTGGTTACAAGGGGCCTCGCGATGGCGTGGATTGGATTCGACAGGTACAAGCTCCAGCATTTCAAGGTCCCTCAGAGATTTCAGTTCAAATCCCAAAAATCACTGGGGGCTGCATGTAATCCGTCATACTTTCATTTGAGCCAATGTTCATGTACGTGAGCACATAAACGATTCTTTGTCATTAAACTATAATAAACCAGTAGAAATCTTAGCGGAACATACAGTAGAATAAGGCACGCTAATTTGACTAATCACCACCCGCGTAGTATCAGAGTTTTATAACACACATCTAAGTGTGGAAAAGCAAACTATGCAATTCAGTAATGTGATCAATCTATTCTTGAATATAACTTACGCGATAGAGGAAGCTTATTGCAAAGGGGCGTATGTTGGCAGGAGGGCGCTAAATTGAATAATAATGGTGTGACCGTTCAGTACTTGATTAAAAGTGATGGAAAGAAATAACTCATTAATTTTCTTACATGCATCAATTAATTTATAAGTGTCATGCGTGGAAAGAGGTTGCCCTCGGTATCCAAGCCAAGCTCCTTCACCGCCAGGGTGGGCACATGGCCCAGGCACTGGCCTATCTGCTGGTGGTTTGCTGGCAGCCAGCTGTCAAACTCAGTGGGGAGGGGAGGGGAGGGTGTATTGTAGTGATACCCCCAGCAAGCTAGAATTTGAGTTTTTAGTGTTAAATAACCTTGATATTCACTGTGTTTCTGGGTATTTTACCTAGTTGTTGAACCTTGTGTGAGCGTTCTGTGTTGACATGGCACCCTGCTGGTGTAGTCCATGCCACGTGCATGCCTGACGGGCCAATCTCCTAGCCAGGGGGGTGGTCTGATTATTTATGGCCAGTGGGACTGTCTTTGAGTCAATGTGGACATGTTTTTGCGAATTCGGTCAGATATACAGCAAGCCTATAAATTAAATCAATATTAAATCAATAATAATAAATAATCAATGATAAATTAAATCAATAATAATTAGAAAAAAATAAATTTAATATTGACGATAGTCACATTTACAAGTAGCCCTCAATTTTAGAAAATTAAAAGTCTCTAAGTTCTTATGAAATTCGTTTAAATTACGTGACTGTTTAATTTATGTAGGTAGTTCTTTCCATAGATGTGTAACCTTATACGTGAAAGAATCATGGTAGTACCGGTTGTTATAAGAAGGTTGAACAAGATT